ATAATAACTGGATAGGGTATTACTAGCTCACAGCTGTCCCACCCACGGGCACAGGGGGCGCCCGCGGTACTGTAAACTAAATTCACGAGGGCTACCCAGAAAAAAGTCTCATAGAACTCAATGTAAATTAAAACAGCTCGACCTCAGCTGATAGAGAACCTACAGCTCTCAGAAAGATTGGATTTTGTGGGGATTTTAGTGTCTTTTTTTCTTCTTAAATCCTACGGTTTTCTTTAAATCCACACTTTACTGCCACAAACTCTTCATCTTTCCTTCCCACGCAGCCGAGCCCCTCTGTGCACGTGCATGAAAGCCACACACGCGTATTTGGCGCAATGCATCATGGGAGGACCAGACGATGCCCAAATAAAGGCGAGTTCTGCTAATCTCCCGGTCCCTGTGAAGTCCCATGCGCTGCTGAGCTCAAGCCATTCATTTGAAAGGGCGCCATCTTGGATCACCGGGGCTTGGTGATTTCCAATAGATTCTTGAAGGTTCACTGTGTAATTTCTACTGTTACTCCAAATTAAAACGCATGTTAACCAATAACAAATCTGACCTTTTTTAAGAAAATCTATCTCTACCATGTTTTTGAATTGTTGTCATAGACTCAGATTTTGAATTATAAATGTACATGAGAGCTGAGCTGCTCTCCAGGTCAATGCAGCCTCTTGAAATACAGTGGTTGATAAGGGACAAAAAGGATGCGAAAATTGCTTCTTCGTTTCAAAGGTACTACTAATGTTGTTGCTTTCACTGTGCCTTTAAAAGTTTGAAGAAGGAACCATGGAGGACCACAGTTATATAAAAGAACCATGGAGGACCACAGTTATATAAAAGAACCATGGAGGACCACAGTTATGTAAAAGAACCATGGGGGACCACAGTTATATAAAAGAACCATGGGGGACCACAGTTATATAAAAGAACCATGGGGGACCACAGTTATATAAAAGAACCATGGGGGACCACAGTTATGTAAAAGAACCATGGAGGACCACAGTTATATAAAAGAACCATGGACCACATGGACCACAGTTATATAAAAGAACCATGGAGGACCACAGTTATATAAAAGAACCATGGACCACATGGACGACAGTTATATAAAAGAACCATCGAGGACCACAGTTATATAAAAGAACCATGGAGGACCACAGTTATGTAAAAGAACGACCCAAACAACTATCTTTTAGAAAAGGAATTATGCAAAAAATCACAGCAGCAAATGTGTCAACATCGCAAACCAAAAAACCAAAACTACAGGAGGCACATTGTGTAGTTTGGACACAACAGACTCACACATGTACAATACAAAACTTTCTTCATACTGACAGTGATGAGAATGAGGCAGAATCTGCAACACAGTCTCAGGATGTTCTGACCCACTCCAAGTCCAACAACTATGTATGTCTCAAGTTTCCACTAAACTTATTCAGGGACAAACCACATATTTGAATATGTGAAACACGCAGAATCAGCGCAAAGTGATGTGTCCTGCTTCTCGGATGATCGTGGTTTACGGCTCCCGCAGACGTTATTCCTCCTGCGTCTCTTTTCACGTTCCGTTTGTAAAACTATATATTGTAATAGATCCATGGTGAAACTCAGTGGAAGCTCCGTGCAGCGGGTGTTGCTTCAGAACACAGTCGTGTTTACATTTCCACCAAAACATGTGGAGAGATCCGGTCACAACTGCGAAAGACGACATATTGTCTCTCGAAGGCTTCCGTAGTCCCCTGGACTGCAATATAGTATCTCAACACTAGATGGGAGTAAAAACTACTTTATCACAATTTTTCCACTTTTCATTTTCAGTAATATTTACACATGTAGGTGCTCTGTCAGCTGAGGTCACGCTGATTTAGTTTTCATTGAGTTCTTCTATGGGGGACATTTCTGGGTAAACCACGTTAATTTAGTCTTGTTTAGTCTGCAGTACCGTAAGAATCCCCCAAGCACATGGTTCCTTCAGCTCCAAGCTTTCTATACCCTATCCAGATATTATAATGGATCCATGGTACAGCTGTACAATGCTAACCTGCTAGCTCAATGAAACCCAATAGGAAAGTGCTCATGTTGAAGTTTGCCTCCTCTCTCTGGCTCCTATTGACTTCCATGTAAAGTAAACTCCTCTACCTCAGTAACGTTTGTGACTCACTCATATTTTGGGCTCAAATCTCTGTGATCCGTGTTTATATTGTTGTCTTTGTAAATCCAGATATGGATACTGCTTCTGTTCAAATCAGCTTCTTCTACATGAAGGCTTAGGCAGTGGTCACTCCCCCCCGCTCACACATTATATGGATCATTTCATTTGATTTAATCTGTATGGAACCAATGCCCGTGTTGCTGTTGTTCTTCATGCAGTTGATCTGGCTTTGTCTCTTGTCTTTTCTAAACCTCGTCTCCGTGGAAACCTTTGTTCTCTCTGTCATTTTCAGATCAATCTAGATAGCCAATCAGCAGCAGCCAATCACAACCTCTAAATGGGCGTCAGTATAGAGGTACAGGATGGTTGGAGACTCAGCAGGAGGCCTCTCAATTTGTCTGGTTTAGAGACTGTGAGAGACTGTGGAGAGAGAGACCAGAGAGAGGCCAGTGAGAGAGAGACCAGAGAGAGGGACCAGAGAGAGGACAGTGAGAGAGAGACCAGAGAGAGGGACCAGAGAGAGGGACCAGAGAGAGGACAGTGAGAGAGAGACCAGAGAGAGGCCAGTGAGAGAGAGACCAGAGAGAGGGACCAGAGAGAGGACAGTGAGAGAGAGACCAGAGAGAGGGACCAGAGAGAGGACAGTGAGAGAGAGACCAGAGAGAGGACAGTGAGAGAGAGACCAGAGAGAGGCCAGTGAGAGAGAAACCAGAGAGAGGGACCAGAGAGAGGCCAGTGAGAGAGAGACCAGAGAGAGGGACCAGAGAGAGGCCAGTGAGAGAGAGACCAGAGAGAGGGACCAGAGAGAGACTGTGGGAGAGAGACCAGAGAGAGGCCAGTGAGAGAGTGACCAGAGAGAGAGACCAGAGAGAGGCCAGTGAGAGAGAGACCAGAGAGAGGGACCAGAGAGAGACTGTGGGAGAGAGACCAGAGAGAGGCCAGTGAGAGAGTGACCAGAGAGAGACTGTGGGAGAGAGACCAGAGAGAGAGAGAAAAGAGAGAGTCCTGCTTTAGTCCTGCATTAGACCTGCATTAGTTCTGCTTTAGACCTATAGACCTGTTTTAGTCCTGGTTTTGAGCTGTTTGAGTCCTGCTTTAGACCTGGTTTAGTCCTGTTTTACACCTGGTTTAGTCCTGTTTTAGACCTGCTTCAGATCTGATTTAGATCTGCTTTAGTCCTGATTTAGTCCTGCTTTAGATGTGCTTTAGACCTGCTCTAGTCCTGGTTTTTGACCATCTGTAGACCTTCTTTAGACCTGCTTTAGTCCTAGTTCCTCTCTCACTAGTCTGAAGTGTGGCTGGATCTTTATGTGGCTTTGTGACTTGGACAAGCTGTTTCTGAGGCCCCTACACTGGCCCCTGACCTCCTCCATCACCCCTCACCCCTTACCCATTCCTCCTCCAGTAATAGACTGACCCAAAAGTCACCTCCTCTTGTTCAGAATGGAGGGATGGAGAAGTTTATGTGTAATAGTATTTCTCTATTATTCACACATTCAGAACTCAAAGTTCAGCTTTTAGCTCCAACATTTGATGAACAATCACTTGAATTATGGAGAGAGAAGAGACAGAGGAGAGAGGGGGGAGGAAGAGAGAGAGAAGAGAGCAGGAGAGACAAAGGAGAAGGGAGAGAAAGAGGAAAGGAGGAAGAAAGAGGAGAAGAGAAAGGAAAGAAGGGAGTGAGAGAGAGAAGAGGTGTGGCTCTTGCATTTCAGTTTGTCTCTCCTCTCCACCCTCGCTTCTCTCTCTCCTTTTCTCTTTTTCCCTTTTCCCTCTTTTCTTCCTTTTCCCCCTCTTTCCCTTTTCTACCTTTTCCCCTCTCTCCACTCTCTCCTCTCTCTCCTCTCTCTCCTCTCTCTCACCTCTCACCCTTTTCTACCTTTTCCCCTCTCTCCACTCTCTCCCCTCCCTCCTCTCTCTCTCCCCTCTCTCCTCTCTCTCCCCTCCGTCCTCTCTCTCCCCTCTCTCCTCTCTCTCCTCTCACCCTTTTCAACCTTTTCCCCCTCTCTCTCCCCTCTCTCCTCTCTCCCCCTCTCTCCATTTTCTCCCTTTTCCCCCTCCCTCTCCTCTCTCTCCTCACTCTCCTCTCTCTCCCCTCTCTCACCTCTCTCCTCTCACTCCCTTTCCCCCCTCCCTCCTCTGTGTGTATGTTTTCCTGTGTGTTCCCGCCTCCCGCTGAGGCCATGATCACAGTGGAGCTGTATTCAAGAGTGCGGGGGTGGGACAGGCCTCACGCTGTCAGCTTCTGTTGTGTGTGAAAGACCTCTGAAGCTAAGCAGGGCAGGGCCTGGTTAGTACTGTGATGGGAGACCTCATGGAACACCAAGTGTGACAGTAGGACGGCTGTGGCAGACTGTGGTTGTGTCGTTAGGCAAGACACTTCACCCCCCACATTGGCACACATAAGAGTCATAACCTCTCCCTCCTTCCTCTTTCTCACCCCTCTCCTGTCTTTACCTTTCTCTCTCCTCCTGTCTCCTCTCTCGCCCCTCTCCTCCCCCTCTCTTTCCTCTCTATTCTCTCTCTCATCTCTATTCTCTCACTCCTCTTCTCCCATCTCCTCTATCTTCTCTCTCTCTCTCTCTCAGTGTTAAGAAGTCAAAAACATTCACATAAAAGACACAATTATAGCATAAACTTATGTATTTCTCCCCATTTTCAATTCACCCTTTTGATCTTTTTGAAAACTTACAAAACTTTAAATTAATCCCGCGTCCAGCAACAGCACAAACGCATTCAAATCCAAGTCTTCCAAACTTAAAAATGTCCGCCGGCGAATCTAACTTTGCTGGTCTTTAAAAAACCCTCTTTTGAATGAAGCACATGTGTGTTGGCGTGGGTCAGGGGTATGCGCTGGTTTGAGTTTGTGCGTGGGTGGTCCGCTCGCTCTCTCATCGATCCAGCGGCTCCCCCAGGACGGAGCCTCGGACCGGGGGCTGGAGGTGAGGCGTGTGGGAGGCGCGTGGGAGGAGGGGGGAGGCAGAGAGAGTTCAGAGCAGGATCTTGTTATCATGTTATCGATTCAAACTCAGCTTCGGTGAGTTTTACACCAGCGAGAAGTGAGTGGGACGTGAATAAACTGAACCAGGATTATCTCAGAAAGAGGAGATCGAGACGCAGTTTCCGTAACATGTTGTTTGGTCTCTCTCTGGTCTATCGCTGGTCTCTCTGTGGACTCCCTCTGATTTCGCTTTTGCCTCTCAGGTCTCTCTCTGATTACTCCCCGGTCTGTCTCTGGTATCTTTCTGGTTTCTCTCTGGTCTCTATTTGGTCTCTCTTTGATCTCTCTCTCTGGTCTCTCTCTGGTTTCTGTACCTGGTCTCTCTCTGGCTTCTCTTTGGTCTCTCTCTTGTCTCTCTTTGGTCTCTCTCTCTGGTCTCTCTCTGGTCTCTCTCTGGTCTCTCTCTGGTCTCTCTCTGGTCTCTCTCTGGCTTCTCTCTGGCTTCTCTCTGGTCTTTCTCTTGTCTCTCTTTGGTCTCTCTCTGGTCTCTCTCTTGTCTCTCTTTGGTCTCTCTCTCTTGTCTCTCTTCGGTCTCTCTCTGGTCTCTCTCTGGTTTCACTCTGGTCTCTCTTTGTTTCCTCTCACTTGTCTATGGTCCAAGACATGTTAAACTTTCCCTCTTCTCTTGTTGTGAATCCTGGTCTCCCATCTCTCTCTCAGCCCTCTTGTTTCCCCTCTGGGCAGCTGGTCAGTGCGAGGGCGTTAGTGATGCGTATCTGTGGGCGGAACACGAGGCTCGAAAGCACATCCAAAAGACGAATGAACCGAGGAGAACCAGAGAAGAGACAGACGAGGGAGAGGGAGAACCAGAGAAGAGACAGAGGAGGGGGGAGAGAGGGGTCAGTGCCCAGAGTCCGAGGCCTCCTCAGCGGACCTTACCAGAGCAGGAGAGAGGGGAGAGAACCAGTGACACGTCCAGATTGAAGAGAAGCAACAATATATCAAATATAGAGATGTCAGACCACAACTTGCTGCTTTCTGCTCAGAGAATGACCAAAGAGAGAGAGAGATAGAGAATAACGAGAAACCAGAGAAGGAGAGGGACTAAAGAGAGACTAAAGAGAGACTAGAGAGAGACTAGAGAGAGACCAGAGAGAGACTAGAGATAGCAGAGAGAAACCAGAGAAAGGGACTACAGGGAAACCAGAGCGAGAGATTAAAGAGACCACTAACCATAGAGCAAGACCAGAGAGAAACCGGAGATAGACCAGAGAGAGACAAGAGAGAAACCAGAAATAAACCAAGGAGAGTGACCAGAGACAGAGACCAGAAAGAGAGACCAGAGAGAGGGACCAGAGAGAGAGCCCAGAGAGAAACCACAGAGAGAGCGACCAGAGAGAAACCACAGAGAGAAACCTGAGTGAGACCTGAGTGAGACCAGAGAGAGACCGGAGTGAAACCAGAAAGAAACAAGCTCCCATGGACAGACTGTGGATCCAGGACTGAGGCTGCACATTAGAATGATTAGAACACACAGAAAGAACCCTGTGAGTCACTTTTTGACCCTTTGGGCTGCTCAATGCTCAAAGTGTGGCTTCTGTGCTATAGACCAGCGTTCGTTCAGTGCCTCCAGCTCATAACTCATAACAATTCGCTGCAGTGGAAGGAGAAAGATTATTACATTGTGTTTACATTTAATACTTTTGCTCCAACTCTCTCAGTTTTACTTTCTGCTCTGAGGAAAACGGTGGCAAGTCTGTCACAGGAAAAAACACATACAGTAGATGTGTTTCTACTGCGAGAGACACAGAGCAGGTGTCCTCAAGCACTGTGTGAGACTGAGGGTTAGAGGAGAGGGGGAGAGGAGAGGAGAGGAGAGGAGAGGAGGGAGAGAGGAGAGGAGGGAGAGGAGAGGAGAGGAGAGGAGAGGAGGGAGAGGTGAAGGGGGAGAGGAGAGGAGAGGAGAGGAGGGAGAGGAGGGAGAGAGGAGAGGAGGGAGAGGAGAGGAGAGGAGAGGAGGGAGAGGTGAAGGGGAGAGGAGAGGAGAGGAGAGGAGAGGAGGGAGAGGAAGAGGAGAGGAGAGGAGAGGAGAGGAGAGAAGAGGAGGAGAGGAGGAGGAGAGGAGAGGAGAGGAGGAGAGGCGGAGGAGAGGAGAGGAGGGAGGAGGAGGAGAGGAGAGGAGGTGGAGAGGAGAGAGGAGGAGAGGAGAGGAGAGGAGGAGAGGAAGAGGAGAGAGAGGCGAGGAGAGGAGAGAGAGGAGGAGAGGAGAGGAGAGGAGAGGAGGGAGAGGAGAGGAGGAGGAGGGAGAGGAAGAGGAGAGGAGAGGAGAGGTGAGGAGGGAGAGGAGGAGGAGAGGAGAGGAGAGGAGAGGAGAGGAGGTGGAGAGGAGAGGAGAGAGGAGAGGAGAAGAGGGAGAGGAGGTGGAGAGGAGAGGAGGGAGAGGAGAAGGGGGAGAGGAGAGGAGAGGAGGGAGAGGATGGAGAGGAGGGAGAGAGAGAGGAGAGGAGAGGAGGGAGAGTAGGTGGAGAGGAGAGGAGGGAAAGGAGAGGAGGTGGAGAGGAGAGGAGGGAAAGGAGAGGAGAGGAGGGAGAGGAGGTGGAGAGAGGAGAGGAGAAGAAGAGAGGAGAGGAGGGGAGAGGAGGGAGGGAGAGAGAGAGAGGGAGGGAGAGGAGAGGAGAGGAGAGGAGGGAGAGGAGGGAGAGAGGAGAGGAGGAGAGGAGAGGAGAGGAGAGGAGGGAGAGGTGAGGGGGAGAGGAGAGGAGAGGAGGAAGAGGAGAGGAGAGGAGAGGAGAGAAGAGGAGGGAGAGGAGGAGGAGAGGAGAGGAGAGGAGGAGAGGCGGAGGAGAGGAGAGGAGGGGAGGAGGAGGAGAGGAGAGGAGGTGGAGAGGAGAGGAGGAGTGGAGAGGAGAGGAGGGAGAGGAAGAGGAGAGAGGCGAGGAGAGGAGAGAGAGGAGGAGGAGAGAGAGGAGAGGAGAGGAGGGGAGGAGAGGAGAGGAGAGGAGGGAGAGGAAGAGGAGAGGAGAGGAGAGGTGAGGAGGGAGAGGAGGAGGAGAGGAGGAGGAGAGGAGAGGAGAGGAGAGGAGAGGAGAGGAGAGGAGGTGGAGAGGAGAGGAGAGGAGAGGAGAAGAGGGAGAGGAGGTGGAGAGGAGAGGAGGGAGAGGAGAAGGGGGAGAGGAGAGGAGAGGAGGGAGAGGATGGAGAGGAGGGAGAGAGAGAGGAGAGAGAGAGGAGAGGAGGGAGAGTAGGTGTGGAGAGGAGAGGAGGGAAAGGAGAGGAGGGGAGAGGAGAGGAGGGAAAGGAGAGGAGAGGAGGGGAGAGGAGGTGGAGAGGAGAGGAGAAGAAGAGAGGAGAGGAGGGAGGGGGGAGGAGAGAGAGAGGAGGGAGAGGAGGTGGAGAGGAGAGGAGGGAGAGAGAGGGGGAGAGAGGAGAGGAGGTGGAGAGGAGAGGAGGGAGAGAGAGGGGGGGGGAGAGAGGAGAGGAGGTGGAGAGGAGAGGAGGGAGAGGAGGTGGAGAGGAGAGGAGAAGAAGAGAGGAGAGGAGGGAGGGGGGAGGAGAGAGAGAGGAGGGAGAGGAGGTGGAGAGGAGAGGAGGGAGAGGATGGAGAGGAGGGAGAGAGAGAGGAGAGGAGAGGAGAGGAGGGAGAGTAGGTGGAGAGGAGAGGAGGGAAAGGAGAGGAGGTGGAGAGGAGAGGAGGGAAAGGAGAGGAGAGGAGGGAGAGGAGGTGGAGAGGAGAGGAGAAGAAGAGAGGAGAGGAGGGAGGGGGGAGGAGAGAGAGAGGAGGGAGAGGAGGTGGAGAGGAGAGGAGGGAGAGAGAGGAGGGAGAGAGGAGAGGAGGTGGAGAGGAGAGGAGGGAGAGAGAGGGGGGAGAGAGGAGAGGAGGTGGAGAGGAGAGGAGGGAGAGAGAGAGGAGGAGGAGGGAAGAGAGAGTGGAGGAGAGGGAAAGAGTTGAGGAGAAGAGGGGAGAGAGAGGAGGAGATGAGAGGGGGAGGGGGAGAAGATGATAGATAGGGGGAGAAGGGGAAGGAAGAGGACAGAGAGGAAGACAGGGAAAATAGTTTAATACTGAGAAGGAGAACCCAGAGAGAGACCAGCTCTCAGCCCAAAGAGTCACATTGTGAATCACATATTTTCTACTAAGATGAAGACGTGCAGCAGGTTTGTTCACAGCAATTTCATTTTATAAGACTCTCGTAATTTGTTTTTGTTCATGTTAAACAATTTAGATCCAGGATTGAAGCTGTAGATCCAGGACTGAGGCTGTAGACCCAGGACTGAAGCTGTAGATCCAGGACTGAGGCTGTAGACCCAGGACTGAGGCTGTAGACCCAGGACTGAGGCTGTAGATCCAGGACTGAGGCTGTAGACCCAGGACTGAAGCTGTAGATCCAGGACTGAGGCTGTAGACCCAGGACTGAAGCTGTAGATCCAGGACTGAGGCTGTAGACCCAGGACTGAGGCTGTAGACCCAGGACTGAAGCTGTAGATCCAGGACTGAGACTGTAGATCCAGGGCTAAGGCTGTAGACCCAGGACTGAGACTGTAGATCCAGGACTGCGACTGTAGACCCAGGACTGCGACTGTAGACCCAGGACTGAGACTGTAGACCCAGGACTGAGGCTGTAGATCCAGGACTGAGACTGCAGATCCAGGACTGAGGCTGTAGACCCAGGACTGAGGCTGTAGATCCAGGACTGAGGCTGTAGATCCAGGTCTGTACGATAACTTGACAGTGTGAACATAGTATAATTAAACGTGTGCTGTGTGGGAGGGGGAGGGGGGAGGGGTGGGCAGAACAGAATATGGACTAATTACAAATAAGGCCGGTCTCTCGTTACCTCCCCCCCTCCCCCCATCTTCTCTCTCCCTCCTCCTCCCCTTCACGTGTGTGCTGCTAATTATCCAGAAACATGTGTAAAATATAATTCTTACAGCAGAGATCACCATGGGAACGCACCAGTGCACAGATAGGTGGAACATCAGAACATTTATTTTTGGAATTCT